TGATCAATAATAATTTCAAGGGTTGCATTTAATAATAAATAATGTGACCTTATAAATTAAATTTAAAGTCAACATCTTGGGATTAGTATCAAAGAGAATATAACTGAACTGAAATCGAAGATCTAAATGGTATACCTCCTGGTTTCACTGAAGAAATTACAGAAAATGGACCCTAATTGACAGCCAAATCAGACAGGCCAAGAAAATTAAAAACAGCAGCAATCAATTCAATTGCAAGGCTAATTCTCTGAGATGATAAAAAGTGAGTCGACCAAGGAGAAGAGGAGAGAGAACTTGTACAAATTATAGCCAGAAATTTCTTGGAAGATGCTTGGCAAATGCCCGTGAATGAATCTACAAAGACAATGAGAAAGTTGCAAAGTTACTTTATTATAAAGTGATCAATAATCATTTCGAGGGTTGAATTTAATAATAAATAATGTGATCTTATAAATTAAATTTAAAGTCAACATCTTGGGATCAGTATGAAAGAGAATATAACTAAACTGAAATCGAAGATCTAAATGGTATACCTCCTGGTTTCACTGAAGAAATTGCAGAAAATGGACCCTAATTGACAGCCAAATCAAACAGGCCAAGAAAATTAAAAACAGTAGCAATCAATTCAATTGCAAGGCTAATTCTGTGAGATGATAAAAAGTGAGTCAGCCAAGGAAAAGAGGAGAGAGAACTTGTACAAATTATAGCCAGAAATTTCCTGGAAGGTGCTTGGCAAATGCTCGTGAATGAATCTACAAAGACAATGAGAAAGTTGCAAAGTTACTTTATTATAAAGTGATCAATAATAATTTTAAAGATTAGATCTAATAATAAATAACGTCTCTTATAAATTAAATTTAAAGTGGCTTAATTTAATAAATCATCTATTAACTATTATCTTTTTTTCATTTTAGTCTAGATACTTTGCTTTCTTTCAGAGTCATCTATTAACTTTCAAAACTGTTTCATTTTCGTCTATCCCAAGTAACTCCGTTAATAGAGTTAACGAAATTCTACGTACGGGATGACGTGCTGC